TGAGTTTTGTATTTAAATCCATCTGGAATACCGGTCTGTACTTTTCTCATTTTGTAATTCTTTTCAGCTTTTGATATCAGGTTAATGCTGGATTCATGACATAAGTTAAAAGATATTCTCTCTATTTTCTGAAAGAGTTTTAGATTAGTATTACTTCTTTGAATATTACGTGTAATTCAACAGTGAAGCCATCTGGGCCTGGAATTTTATTTGTCGTGAGATGCCTGGACCCAAATGATATTTCTATAAGAGATAAATGACTATTTGTAATTATTTTTGAAAAAAATGCATTTTGATAAGTGTGTTTTTAATAAATATACCTACTTCATCTAAATTGTTGAATCCATTACCACAAAAGCTACTCATTTTATTTTGTTTTTAGTCTTTTAACATCTAAAACATCTATGATGATACTCCCATGAAAAGTATTAAAGATCAAAGATGCTACTTTGAGGACTTAAGTGTGTCTGACCCAAGCCCTAGTACTTTCAACAGTGTTATACACTGGACAATGAAAGAAATGTCACAGTCAAGGAAAAGAAGGTAAATGGAAGAATTGATGCCTTTGATTTATGGTGTTGGAGAAGCATATTAAAGGTGCCACATACTTCTAGAGGAACAAACAGATTTGTCTTAGAAATACAGAGGGAATGAGTCTTAACAGAAAGGATGTAAGACTGTGGATCCATAGCTGGGCCTTGTGATGAGGAGGTCACTAGAGTAGGGCGTTAGGTAAAGGCTTTGAAAAGTGAAGAGCCAGCCACAAAGGAGAAAATCCTCAATGAAACAGATCGGCACGGAGACGGCAATGATGGCATCTAAAAGCAATAATTGTGAGGATGGCTTACGATCAGATCATTTTTCGGTTGTATATAAGATCTAATGGATCGCTGAATCTGAACAGACCTGATGATGCTAACCAGGACATACTTCATCTAAAATCCACTGATAGTAATGTACCCAATTAACAAACCAATGAATAAAAATCATATGCCTTATTAACTGGTGCTGCAAAGAGCAGTTGGTAGAATCCAACATGCATTCATAACGTATAATCTTAGCAAGTTAGCATTTGTATGTTTAATGCCATTAAAACTGCACTTGATACAATTTGAATAAAAGTGCCAGAAATGGGTTGTGGTATACATAGACAACTTCATTTAGAATTTAAATCGAAAAGCAGACACTATTAGCTATCATGAAGTCAAAGATCTAAGATAATCTTGAAAAGGAGATTAAAGTGAAATAAATTATTACACGTTACATTAAAATCAAAATCAGTTGCTTCTGACACCATAGAAACTTGTGGTGTGCCCATCTAGGTCAGAGGAGAATAGCACTCCACACCAATGGCTGTGACAATTTGGAAGTAGAGCACAAAACCTTCTGAAATACCTCTCGGTGAGTTCAATTGGCCAAATTGTTAGTTAGTAGCTGAGTGACCGATCCTTTGCACTACCCATGGACTCCTAGAAAACAATAGCAGTGAATTTGACTTTGACTCTTGGCGACTGTATCATCCCGGCGCACAGGTCGAGCTGCAGTAATTACAACTGCTATAAAGGCAACGGTATAGGTACCTAGGTCAGTATGACAGAATTGAGAACCCAGAGTGCCCAAAGGTGCAAAAAAGAATTCAATGGAGGGAGCATAGCCTTTTAAACAAAGGATGCTGGAGCAATTGGACTTGCATAGGTAAATATAAAATTAAAATGAACCTTGGTCTAACGGCTACTCTATATAAAAATGAACGCAGGTCATGGGCTTATATATATATAGGAGGGGGGTTCAAAATTTCTGTAGAACATTTCATTATCTTCTCATTCTGTTGGATCAAGAACTCTGAATCACCACCACCACCACCATGAAACTATGAAACTTTTAGTAAAGTTAATGCAAAAAAAAGAAAATCTCTAAGATACAGGGATAGTCAAAGGGTTTTTAGATTTGACACCAAAAGCAGAATTTAAAATTTTTGTCAATCAAATTGAACTTCCTCACATATTTGCCTTGAGAAAAACTCTGTGGAGAGGTCAAGAAAAGCTCCAAAGTGGAAGAAAATATACCCAAACCCTGTATCTGATCAAGAACAAGCATCTAGAAAATACAAACTCAGCAGTAATAACCAACAATCCCATCAGAAATTGGGCAAACACATGATCTGGCACTTCACCAATAGTTACATGCAAAAGGCAAACTAGGACATGAAAGAAAGTTCACTGTCACTTGCCATCATTAAAAGCAAATTCAAGCCACAATGACATATTGTTGCATGTCTATTAGAATGTTAACATTAAAAATAGTGATAACACCAAATGCTTGCAAGAATGCAATGGAATTAGATCATTCCAACATCAAATGGTCCAGCCATTCTAGAAAATGGTGAGATTCTCAGAAAGCTCAATGAGCCATCACTATAATGCTGAGAAATTGTACTCTTGGGCATCTGTCCCAGAGAAATGAAAACCTATGTTCACACAACTAGTCATACACATAAAAATTAAAATTTAAAAAATTAAAATAAAACAGTCATATACATGATTCATGGCAGCTTTATCCATAGTAGTTAGAATCTGAAAATAACTCAGATGCCCTTCAATGGATGAAGGATGAAACAGACCATGTTACCAGGAATTGATAATGAAAAAGAAGGGGGAAAAAAAAAGGAGAAAAGTTAGCGTGGAGGGAGGGGGCAGGGTGAGAGAGAGAAAGAAACTCAAAGTAAATGCAACAACTTGAATGAATGCCCAGGGATATGTTGAGTTCAAAAAGCAAATTATATAAGGTATAGTGTACAATCCCATTTTATGACATATTTGAAATGTCCACATTTTTAAAATGGAGAACATAATAGTAGTTTCTAGGAATTAAAAGTAGGGGGGAATAGAAATGGGAGAGAGGTAGAAATGGGTTTCTTACAGTGATGGAAATTTCTGTATCTTTATTTGGTGGACACACAAAACCAAGGCATGTATTAAAACTATAAACGATGACACACATAGACACACACACATACACAAACACAGCCACCTGCAAACAAATGAAGGAGACCTGTCAACACTATAAATGTCAATATTCTGGTAGTAACATAAAAATGCTACCATTGTTGGAAACCATATGAAAGGTAAAAGGGATCGATCGACCTGTATTATTTCTTAAATTGTATATAAATCTACAATTATCTCAAAATTTTCCGTTCAAAAACAAAACCAGAAACACTTAACAAAATCATTCTGAATCTTGCTTCCTGGCCAATGAGTTTGAACTCTCTTACATAGGCATTGAGAGTCATAGAAGTTGTTCGAGTCTGGATGAATTGCTAAGAGAATGGAACTTAAGGAGTCAGGATCATGGCACTGAGCGTGAGGGGTTAAAGACTGCACTGAAAGCAGAAACACAGGAAACCATGTACCAGGGCTCGAGGGAGAGGTCATTGTGAAGCCTCTCTGGTACTCAATGAAATGCAGTGTGGAAGAGATGCTTGCTGACCCAGACTAAAGCAAACCACAAGTCCCACACCGCTTTATCGAAGTGTGAAGCTGATCGTGAAACAAAGGCACTGTAAGAGTTACTTTAGATTCATTCGTTTATACTATACTTGTTAGATTTTGTAAAAATGTAAAAGGCTTCACTAATTACATTATTTTCTAAATATAATTGAAAAAATTTCTAAGCATTGTGATCATTGGAATGCTTTCTAAAGTAATTAAAGATATTTAAATTTTTGAAAGCTATATTAGACTTATGGATTCAATTAATTTTAAGTAAATGTTTAGCAAATTTTGATTAACTAAATTTGTAATTGCTGTTTAAGCATTGGAGGAAACGTAATCTGTTAATTTTTAATATTTTGATTTATAAGTTTCATTAATAGCATTGAATGTTCTGAGATGGTCGGTTAATGAATATACATATGTATTTAATTGTGCATGAAATGCAGTACAACAGGAGAGACACTCTTCGCTCTCCATGCACTGCGCCCTGTGCACGTCTCCATAGACTCTCTCATCATCCAAGAGCAGACCCAGGCTTGAAGTCGTGTCTCCCTCCAGGCTCTCTCCTGGACACCAGGCTGTCCCTGGAAGGCTCGTATTCTCCCTTTGTCCCCTGTTGACGTGAAATGACCCTATACTCAAAAGCAGGAATGGGATGGCCCTTACCTTATGGGATTGTCCATCCTGGACACTGTGAGGAAGGCGGCGAGATTGGCTGTGTAGGAGGAACAGACGATAAGGGTGAAGAGCCACCAGCTGCCCATCACAATCCGCATGGCCATTGAGTTCACGGACGACTCTCCACCTGTAGAGGGTAGGCAAAGGGTGGTTGACTTGCACGCTCGAGCTTTGGTGCTCACCCCACTGAGAAGTTCTTCCTTCCACGGAGGCTGGTGCCGTTGGCTAGGATGGAGGGCTCATGAGAAGGTGAACAGTGACCAGCTGGTGGGAGGACTATTACAATTCTGGGAAAGGATCTAAGGACCACCATCATTTTTTTGTTTTGTTTAAATTATTTTTTAATCATTTTACTAGGGGCTCATACAGCTCTCATCACAATCCACACACACATCAATTGTGTAAAGCACATTTGTACATTCATTGTCCTCATCATTCTCAAAACATTTGCTCTCCACCCAAGCCCCTCGCATCAGCTCCTCATTTTTCCCCTACCTCCCCGCTCTCCGGCCCCCTCATGAACCCTTGATAATTTACAAATTATTCTTTTGTCATATCTTGCACTGTCCAACATCTCCCCTCACCCACTTTTCTGCTGGCACCATCGATTTTATAAAGGATTCAAATATGGAAAAGTGAGGACTGTTCTCCACTATGACACGTGTCAAAACTCCAAGGATAAAGTTCTGAATACCAAAATCTTTCAGCTAGAAAATTCCAACACAAATTGATCAGAATTTATAGGGCTGCAACCTGATGTGAGATTCTTTTCTGATTTCAAATTCACATAGAGTAGTTTCCTGAATTATGCAAATACAGAATTACCCCCTATCTATAGGGCTCAGCAGCTCTTTTTTAAACTCAGAAATGAAATGCATCATCAATGTTTGTTAATATAACTCGCACGAGAGAACATTTTCCCCATCAGGATTTTTTTTTTTTCCTCCAGAAATCATTACGTGTGACTTTGAGTTAAAGGCTCCTTCTTTGAGGCCAATGATTTTTTTTTTCTTGGTCCCTTGGGTGGTAGCAGCAGAAAGCTTTCCACTGTTCGTCCTCCTTACATAACCGCACACAGCCATGACCATACTGAAAATGGAGCCAAGGCTCACATTAGGAACTTTGCAATTGTATACTCCAATAAAAACTGTACAGTCTTGTAACTTGCCAAGTGCTATCCAAACCTCTCAGAGACCTGAGCACTTGCTTCTCAAGAATGGCTAGGAGGCTGCTTAGATGATTGCAACACAACTGTGATTTTTTTTCCCATTAAGACTTCCAATTTCATCAAGACTTCAGGTTTCATTTGACAACCTCATGTGCATAAGAAGCAGTGTGATGTGGACGGGGGGCAGGGAGGAAGTACAGAACTGAACTCCAAAGTTAATTTTAATCGAGCGTGGAGAGTCCGGATTTAAAGTGGCGATCTCTGTTGTCATGTCATTTAATTTCCTCAGAGAAATCAGGTGCAGCACAATATGAGTACTGTCCAAGAGATTAAATAAAAGTTCCTTGTAAAAGAATTCTGAAAAATGTCTCTAAAAGCTTTGCTAATGGATAAGCTTTTCAAGGACCCTCTTATTGTTGTTCTGACCTAGGTTGAGTTGCCCTCTGACTCACAGAAGCCTCATGAACAACAGAATGAACAGTTGTCTGGTCATATGCCAACCCTATGATCAATTGTAGATCAAATGGTGGTGATTTGCATGGGTGGTCACTAGCTAGTTGTCAGGAGCACATTACCAACCCTTATTTCCTAGACCCTCTCATTCTGGAAGTGCCACTTAAAACCTGTCCATCATCACAGCAAAATGCGACCCTCAGCTGGCAGATGGGCAGGGCATGATGTCCACTGGGTAGGAAATTGAACCTGGATCTCACACATGGAAGACAAGAATTCTACCACTAGCCCATCAATGGCTCCCACTTTCGGACCTAGAGTTACTCAAATACCAGAAAGCAAAGGAAGTACCTTGCTGCACAAAGGTGCCGTAGACAATCCAGATAGCACTGTGTAGGGTGGCAGCAGTAGAGGGTCTGGGCTGACCTGTCGTCTGAGCCCTCACGGCCTGAATTCTATTCAACACAAATATCAACACCCCAACCACAGGGATGGCCGCTGCGATACAGGCCCACACGGCAAAATCAAATGGAGCGAAGAGTGAGAAGATGCTGATTCTCTCCTCGGGCTTCTTGATGAGCATTCCCACGGAGTAGTCCATGTACCGCTTGCTGAAGTCCACAACGCTCTCCCTCTCTGGGGTGATGGTGATAGCTGAGATCGCCAAATCTGCTCTCTGAAAGGCAAAATGATCTCATCAGGATCAGTCCTCAGTTCTAGTGAGAGGGTGGGTTCTGCCCTAGGGACAGGATTTGAGAGTTGACAAATATGGCCATGAATCATGTAAGAAAAAGAGCTGATACGAAATTCTTCATAATCTCTGCTTCGCCTTACAAATTTCTATCCCAAAACCTGGACACCTCTTCTGAAGAAAAGATTAAAACATATCTTGATTTCCGTGTGCATCATGTTGTTTAAATATTGTTTCTATTTGTATTGTTGTTGATTTGTTTAACTTAGCAAATCTTACGTTTGCCCATGTTTCACTCACCCCACCCCCACCAGAAGAAGCTCCTTCTAACTTCTATGAGATTCATCGGCATCCTCACTTTCCTTGAACAGATACACCAGTGCCCAGCAAGCCTCGGTAACACCTATCAGCCCACACTAATTTCCCTCCTTTCTCAAATGCACTGGGATGGAGCAGATGAGTTACACAACTACCGTGCATCCCTTTATACAATGCCCAGTAAAGAGCAACACCTGTTGATGGTAACTCTGCCAGAGTGCTCGTGTGCTATGGTAACTGTGGCCTGTTTAGCTGGTTCCAGGGTTCTGGGGCCAAGTTCACCTAACAACACAATGATAGACTACGGCTCTTCCTATCCCTGTGGGTCCGCTTTGAGAACCTACCTTGCTGATGAGCTCTCCAATCATCCCATTCCAGGAGGTGTTGTGCAGCTGGTGACCATACCTGCCGTCGGGGGCTTGGTAAACATCATATTTGAAGCCCAAAGCCTTAGCGAGTGCATCCAAGACATCCATGGAGAACCCTTTGTAGCGTTTGGGCTGCCCAAGTATGTTCTCGGCCACCATCACGAAAGGCTCTTCCTGAGGACAACAGAATGAACAGGTAAGGCAACACGGAGACTTCCGTTTTTGAGTTCTTCCATTACATAGCAGGTTCATGAATGCATGTACCCAGCATATTGTTGGAGGGCCCTACCTGATCGATTGTAATCTAGAGGGTTTGGGGACATTTTATCGTATTTGCCCTATTGAGGGCTGGGCCCTGAATTTTTCTGCTCTTCCTAAAAGCAGTTTATGTGCATTCAGGATATAATGCAAAGGAAGATGACCCCAAGTAGTGTATCAATGTGGAGCAATGGGCATCTACTTGTCATGCTTTATGTCATTCCAGGTTCTCTGCAAAATCTTGGTTCTCAGAATAATATGGCTTCTTGGTAAAATCTGTGCCAAACCAGGACTCTGTCTTTAGAAAATGCCACCATATGACTACTTTTCAGGTAGTATCATAAATGGCAATGGCGCTCTATGACATCAAGCGGAGAGAAGACACTGCCCTATCTCGTGAGTTGTACTAGAAACTAGATGTTGATTAGTTGGCCAGGTCATGTTCTTAGTCAACGAATAGGAGAATAATTAAACCCACATTTCCTTATGTAAAGCCACCCACGTTCCCCTTCCCACACTCAATGCTGTGGCATCATGACTTCCCGAGGAGCATGCGGCCACCTGGAAAAGATCTCAACCTCGTCCCCGACGTTCATTCTTCTGGGAGTGAAACAAGTAAGGAAGCAGAAAAGGGGCCCTTTGGGAAACCACCCAAAGAATATATTTCACTAATTTAATTTTGTTGGGGATATAGGGTATGTGATGTGTTATTTGGGAAACTCAGAAAAACTACTCTCACTGACTCTAGAGTTAAGGAGACACCCGTGCATCTTCAGGGTGGAAGTACATATTAGCATCATGTCTGATACAGTTAATAAGAGGTACATGGAATATTTTCTCCCATAATCCTTCTGAAAATGTAGAGAAGGAACCTGAAAAGAACAACAATGCCTCTGTGGTCTTTTCCAGATGTTCAGTCTATCACTTCCAAGTCTACCATGCAGAAAAATTCAAATAACAGAATATCTCCATTATGAATTTTATCTCCTTTGGGATGATAAGAGATGCTTTGGTCTGGAAGAATGTCCTTCTGCCAGCATCCCTCTGAGATATCCTAGCTAGCCATACAATTTTCCTAAGTTCCATCTACTGATCTAGGTCCAGCTGACATCCAAGGACAAGTGGAATAGCTGACCCCCCTCTATAGGTCCATGGTCAAGTTTTGTTAAGGACACATTTCTAGGGCAGTGCAGCGACCTTGGGGGTAAGACCTTGGAGATACTGGGTAAAATTCCCAACATTATTCTCCTCATTTCTATACACATGATTACTTAAATGAAAAAGCTCAATTAAGATCCCAAATTCAATATTCTCTTCTCTCCCAAACAAGCACTAAAGTACAGAGAAGCCCCTGCCGCAAGGTTTGAAAAGTGAAGTTCCCGAGAATCCCCATGATCCTACCAAGACAGTCACCACTTTGAGGGTCAGTCCTTGCAGGCGGCTGCCCATTGGCCTTTCTTGCAAGCTGCCATTCAGACCCTTCTCCGAATCCCATGTGGCCAGCTGTGAAATAAACATAAATGGAGTGTAAAAGGCAGAGAAGACACCCATGATCGCTATATGACCTTGTCTCAGAGTTGGGATTCTGGGTCATCCAAGTAGGTAAACAGCAACCTTCTGAGTTTTACCAGAGATCTAAAGCTTGATCAAGAATGAGGTATGATCGAGTGTTTCACTTCCTGTATCAATGCATCGGTGTCTCCAGGACAGGGCAGACCCCCCAAATAAAACCATTTTTAACAACTTTTCTCTAGAACAGATGTTTATGTCCTACTTCATTCTATCCATACCCCACAGGCAAATGACTGTGTCTCCCATGAAGCATGCTTTTCTTTCATTCCTCCTTTAACTTTATCCAGCCAGGAAGTCCTTGGATTCAACCAGGCCCTCCACCAAGGGCAGACATATACCTACCATTGAGGAAAGTAATAAAACCCAGGTGCACAACTTGCCCAGCATCCTGGTTCCCACTGAAGGCAGGCTGGAGAGCTCTCTGCTTATCCTCACTGGAGTGCAAAGCCATTGGATACAGATGGAAGTCAAAGGCAGAATAAATGTGTGGTTCTTTCTTTAGCTTACAGGACCTCTTTGAGCTTCATGGAGAGCCAAATGCTTCTCTGATATGCACCGTGTAGTATTTGAAGAGATCCTCTTCTGGCTCAACAATAGTAGAAAAAAGCCATTGTTCTTGGAATGCTCCCCTCTCTGTGACCCGTAAGTATGGGGCAAAAGTGATAAATGCTTCCTCCGGCCAATTAGTCCAAACATTAAATGAGGGCATTTTGTTGAATTCATATATTTGATCTCATTTTATACCGATTTAATTATATTCGCTGGAGAAAAGGTATCTAGTATTCCAGCCTCTTCAGTCTTTACCTGGGTCTCCATGAGAGCTACGAGATCACAGTTCAAAACTTTGCGAGACCATGCCACCTGGAAAATACCATCGTTCTGATCCTAAATCAAGAACCTCAGAATGAAATATGCAGTTCTACAGCCCATTTAAATGAAACCTGGAACATCTTACGGGGGCTCAAAGCCATAATACCACTTGTTGTGCATATGCTAAAGCTGTGATTTTGAATATAGCACAAAACAATAACCACTCCAAGTTAGGGTACCTGGCCGGGGTAAATCATATATACATCAGCATATACTCCAAAGAGCTCCCAAACCACTCTTGATGTTGAAGGGCGCTGTGGGAAAGTACATCACCATCAAATGAAAAGCCCTTCTTGAGGACAATTAAGATCTCACTCTCTGGGAACAGGCGCTCCGGAGCCTGAGAAGGAAGCATTGCATTGATTTCTCTCCTGGGTCTCAGATTCAAAAATTCTTGCAGCTGGATTAAAATGTACTCAAACATGAGAGAACAAACTCAGACACAAAGAATCAAGGTGTGGGATTACTGGATCCTCCAGACCAGGGACTGGATCCTCTGAATTCATGGGACAGCGTATGTATATATGTGGGAGCCCTGGTGCGATAGTTATTACATGTTGGGCTGCAATCTACCTGGTCAGCTGTTCAAAACCACCAACGGCTCAACAGGTGAAAGACTAGACTTTCTACTCCCGTACACAGTTGCAGTTTCAAGAACCTATAGGGCGTCACTGTGAGTCAACATTGGCAGATGTATAATCTGAGATGCCGCGATCTGTACCTCCAGGACTGTTTAACCTTGGTACTGGGCCTGGTATTTACCCTGGATGTGGGTGGAGTTACTACAGTACCCTTGACCATTTGGATGACTCAGAGTGAGGATAATCTTACGTCCATGATTTGTTATGGTCTTGAAGTGCCACTGAAACTTGTCCACCATGGGTAAGCTCGATGAATTATGAAATATGTGTGACCTCTGACCTTTGAAATACGTAGTTACCAACACATACTATCACAGCAATATTTGAGCTACCACAGGACAACCTGACAGATGGCTGGTGGGAGAAGATGCATTAGGATGGCATATTTAAAACTAATGAGCCAGTGATTATTGACTAAATTCTACACTTTATTCATATTTCTTTAGTTTTTCCCTCGTGCTCCTTTTTTTTCATTCAAGATCCTCGTGTTACTTTTAGTCATTTGGCATTTTCTAAACCCTCTGACTACACAGCTACTTCAGATCTGGTTAGCTGCTGGCTTGCTTAGCACCCAAAAAGCCATGGGAGAACAGGACAGAACATTTGGAGGAACAGCTACATATATATATATATACCACGTTGTCTACAAGTTCTTGTTTCCAATAGTTCTCGCATTCATTACACCTTGCTCCCAAATGAAGGGTCCATGTCATATGAGGATTCTATAGCTCCCAGGTATCAGAGATGAGGTTGGCAATCAAATAGGGACCTACTGGATGCTTCTTGAATCCAAAGATGTTGCCAGAGACAAACCGGCCTTGTTGAAAGACCAGAGGCGGAGGAGAGCCACTACAGAATGCCTATCATTGCTGAAGAATGTCCTGAAAGTGCAGAATGAGAAAGCAGGCATAATATGAGAGAAGAAGAGATCAAAGAAGGAAAGACAAAGCTAAGAACGTGGCCAGGTGGCCAAAGACTTCGCTTTTTCTGATGTGGGCAAAGCTGAAATAGAAATTATCTCAGGATCTTTCATTCTGGCCTGAAATTCCCATTCCACTGTGGCCTGAGATCCCCATCTTGCTTTCAAATACTATCCAGAACACCAGGTTCTTCGACTAGGCTTGAACTTCCCTTGACTTATGTATTTCCATGAAGGGTTCCCAACTATACCTTGAATACCAATATGACTTATCAGATACCAGGATAGATTTTGGCAGGGGTAGGGAAAGGGACTTTAGGATTCAGAGAACCTATTCCTTGCTATGTTTCCATTACTTACCTCAGTGCCTTCGGACAAGCCATTCAGAGCACATTGCTTACATGTCACATCAGGCTGCAACTGAGCACCACTACTTTAGCACTGCTCGCATTCCATTTCCCTATGTCCCTTGTTCAGCAAGTTAAGGGGCCATTTAAATGAGATACTACATACGAAATTATTGTAACACAACAGTAATAAAAAAGTAAAGATGGCGTTACTTTGACACTAAAGTTAATAAGCTTTTGGTACCTAACTAAAAACAGCCATAGATGATTAAATCCAATCCTAGCATATGCAGCCAGAGGGCTAAGAATGGAACCGGCACCAAACAATAGAATAGAAATTCTCTATGGCGAGGCCAGCTTGAGAATCCGAATTTTGAACGTTAGTCCTTTGGCTCTAAGGAAGCTGGTCTCAGGGGCCATTTAATCTTCAGGAGAATCAGGACCCAGGAGTTGTGGCCAGGAGGTGCCACATCTCCTAGAAAAGCCATATTCCTTACACATCCAACAAGGTGTCTCACAGTCTAAGACCCCTTTCAGTCGGTGCAGGGTCTATCAGCCTGTTCTCTGGGATGGAGGAGTGGCTGATGCCCAGCTCCCGGAGGACAATCTTTCTCCATTAAGGAAGAGAGACGATACCAAATCATCCTAGTTAATATCCAGATATCTGAATGTAAGACCGAGCCTTGATGTCACAGTGGGTTTGGGCTACTAACTGCAAAGCCAGCAGTTTGAATCCACCAGTTGCTACTTGGGGAAAAGATGAGTTTGTCTACTCCTGTAAAAAGTCCCAGTCTCAGAAGCCCAAAGAGACGATTTCACTCTGCCCTCTAGTGTCGCAGAGAGTCAGACTCAATTGGATGGCAGTGCGTTGTGGTTGAGAATGCGAGAAGGCTATTTAAATCAGCTGAACTTTAAGTGAAGGGAGGGGGGTAAGTTTAAGGACTTTTAGCATCCTTTTCTTTTGGACAGACGTGCTTATGACTTGAATGTTGGTTTGTTCATTTTAAAACATATAGACAGCTCAGCTCCTTCTCTGGTCTCTGGGTATTCCACACCTTGAACAAGAATGGAAAAAGTCCTTCACACCAAAACCAAAAGTTCTGCCTTTCAAACACATCAAAGTGTGGCAACGTGTCCTCAACTTTTTACACTGGGTTTGGTACATTAGGCTGGAGATGAGAGCTCTAGTCTGAGTGGATTCCTACCCTGCTTCCACAAAGCTATATGCTCTGCCCCAGCTCTGAATACCAGGTGGTGAGCCTTAATAATTTCTGGGAAAGGACATCATTTTAAACTTCTGGATATTTACAACCACGTGGGAGAATGCAACAGTTCATGTAGAAAAATGGTCAATATAAAAAAATTATAAAAGGAATACCTTTAAATGATTTTCAGATTTAGAGTTGACCAGGATTCGAACAGGCTAAGTCACCTTCCTCAGGAGAATGTGCTATGGTCCCATTCAAAATGCTGACGTGAAAGTTGCAGTCAATAATGTTTGGATGAGGTTGACAGGCCTGATACATGGGAATCTAGGAAAACTTTTTACCCAGAATCCTGACAGTCATACAACCCCAGATCATATCTCCTGTACATTAAGTGTATCTACTCTGACTTCCCCTCATATTTTGCATGCACAGTTTTATGTATGGGATCAATGAATTTGTGGCCACAAAGACCCATTTTTTGACAGCTGGCCGGTCACGATCACTGCCTGAAAAACTAATTTCCAGCACTGTTAAACAAAACGAGTCCTGCCACTATTTGATAAGACAGTCGTGATTTTCATTCATTGCTAGAATCTGCTCTACTCAGACCAGAGAAGTGGATGGAGCCAAAGGTTACTGCACTTGAAAGGAGATCTGTGGTCTCCAAATCTGATTATGACAAACAACTGTTCGCAGGATCAGCCAATTGGAGAATGAATCTCATGAACCACTGGTCTCAGGAAAATATATTTCCTGAGTCAATAAGAGGTGTTCTTCATGTTCACACTTCTGAATTGTGAGAGGTGGGGAGTGGGGGCCTTGTGGTCTTATACATAATAATTGCAGACTATTAGCCCTAACTGAGGCAGGTCTTCTCTGGAAGACTGGCCTTTGTGATCTATTATAGTTGTCTCTTAAAGGCCACCTGGCTCTAAATTGGGGAAAG